CCGATTTTTGCAACCCGAGACTTAAGCGGGTAGCGGGTAGGGTTACCAATTATGCTACCCGACCCGCCCGAAAAACCGAACTAGCATAATATATATACTACTTTAAATTATTATGCATGTTCAAATATCTCAATTATTATATGTCAATTACCATATTATGCATGTTCAAATATTCCAATTACCGTATTAGTACAACTATAAATTTGAATGTTGTATTGTTATGACTTTGAATGATATTTTGACCAATTATCATTTTATTTATCACAATATCAATTATGTCAATCACCGTATATTATTATTTTACATGTTTAAATAGGTCGATTACCGTATTTATTCAACCCGACTGCAACCCGAATTTCTTCAACCCGAAAAAACCGATAAATTTTTTGATAGGGTAGGGTTTGAAATTATCAATCCGATACCCGAACGGGTTTATCATTTTTGAAGCCGACCCGCCCGAACCCGACCCGTGCTCTGCCCTAGCGATATTGGTTGGTCCATTTGTAAAATCTAAAAGAAACATAATTTTGTAACTTATTAACGTGATTATTCATTAAAATTGAATAACAAATCTAAATTACAATCTAATATAATCTACAATCTAAATTAATCTATTGTAATATTAAATTGTACTACATAATACTTCCTCCGTCTCTTAAAGGTTTGCCAAGTTTGACCGGCACGTGGAATAATAAAGTAAAAATTGTGTGATACATATTTGTGCAGAGGAGAAAGAAATAACAGGATCCACAAATTGATTGATTAAAATGAAAATTGACATTTTTTTTGAGATATCCAAAAACGGAAAGTTGGCAAAGTTATAAGGGACGATTACTAAATTACTAAATTACCCTTTTTGACCCATTGTTCGGTGGCCGAAAAAATAACCCTAACCCTAGTCGGAATTTGGATATCCGACTCGCTTATATTCATACCAAAATTCCCATTCCCGTATTTTGGCATCTTAAACGAAAAACTCCCATCATTTTGTCATTTCTTCAACCTGTTATATTTACTTCACTTTCACACTTTGATGACGCACTATTCACAACTCAGAAGCAGGGCAGCAAGGGCAGATCCAGGATTGATAGGTGGGTTGAGTTAGCAGATAATAAAAAAAATTGTTTCTATACATACAAGATTCAGCTCAGGACTGTTATTGAATCGAGCTTTTTTGAATTATATACTCGAGTTCGAGCTTGATTTCAAATCTAATTTAATGATCCGAGTTTAAGAAGTTTCGAACTCGAACACGGACTAAGTTTTGAGTTTGAATAGTTATTCAAACCGAGTTCGAACATATTGATGTTTGGTTCGATCGGGACTCGAGCCTCGTTCATCACCTATAAATTATAGGAATAAATTATATACTCCGTATATCTTAAAATTTAAATGTTTTTGGTGCAATTTTATAATTTTATTAATGATTGTTAAAGACTCTAGTATTTATTGAATAACTCGAACATGAATCTATTAGCGAGTATAGTCTAAACTTCTACATTCAAGCATTTTTATCGAGCATTAAAATCGAACACCTAATATTTATCAAGCCAAACTCGAGCTCAATTTCATACTAGGTAATTTTTCATTTTCTTTCTTGGCAATATGTTCATTATAAATTTAAAAAAAACATTTCAAATATTGGTAAGAATTAAAGTACTTCTATAAAATTATTATAAAACTAATAAGAAAAAAATAGTCGTTATACCTAAAACTAATAAGTATTCCCAATTTCAAAATTCAATTGAAAATTTAAATCATTCTTACATGTCCACACAATAAATAACTCATTCTCTTATCTTCAATTGTATAATAAATAAATCATTCTCTAATCATTAATTCTATCTTTAATCGTTATAAATTCATACTCGTACTACCCTATAGCTACTAGGTAATAAGTAAGCACTGTTTTTTGTCTACTCAAAAATTCAATTAATAATCGAATACAATTACAAAATTATAAAAAATACACAAAGTCACAACTCACAAAGTAATACATTGAAATAGTTAAAAAGTACGGAGACGTAGAATATACTTGGGGGCTAAAGAGTAGAGTCGTGGAGGCTAAAGCGGTGGAGCACCAGAGCCAAAGTTGTGGATACTTGGACTACTTCAGTGCCCTGGTCGCATGGACAGCTGAAGGAGCCCGGAGCAGTGGACGACGAATTGCCGGACCTGGACAAAAGGCGGCGCCGCAGCTGGTGGCCGCAGATCGGTTGATGTTGGCTATGCTCCCTTTGCTCTTCGCGCTTTGTCTTCCAAGAATCCCAACTGCCAATTGCGTAGAGAGGCCGCGGATCGGTAATAGACCTCAATTAGGTCCCACACCTTGAGCTCTCTTGACTTCAAAATCTCTCCTTTAATGAATTGTGGACCTTCAATGCTTCTCAATAACTCTCAAATATGTCTTGACGCTCTCGATTACTTCTCAAACGCCGGTGTTGAGCTTAATTCCTTGATTTTGACTCTAAAATACCAAACACGAGCCAACGCCCGGTAAAAAATGACTTGATCTAATTATGATACTTGCATTGTGACACCTTTTAGCTAGAAAAACTATCAAAATCCGATCTCAACATGCATCAAATGTGTGTCGAAATACGGACTTATCATTGTGGGAAGGCTCTAAGACCTCTCAATAATGTTATCTACTTCAATTGGTTGGAAGAAATGACGGTGAGAGATGGTATGGCCTCAATGAGATGGTATGGCCTCAATGAGATGCATTTGACATGGGTGGGTCTCCCTTTTGATTCCTTTTATCATCAGTACAAGAAATCACACATTTTATGACAAAAATTTGCGTGACACACAAAAAATTGTCATATTATATGATCTAATAGTTACAAAACTCAAATTTGTCACAATAAAGTAATTTGTTATGACAATGTTATTTTTTGTCACTATAATTCTTATACTTTGTCACTAATTGGTGGTTACTATGACAATAAGATCTAATCCGTCACTTTAAGTTTGAGCGCCGAACTTTGACGCCAAAAATCCGGAGGGAAGTTTTTTTATGACACTTTTTAAACATTTAATGATGATAATTTGTGTCACGTAATTTTTAATTTGTAACTAAAGTAGTAAACTGACGAACTATTGTCATTACAACTCAACAATTCTGGAAGTATAATGTTAATTGTCACTAAAAGCTATGTTTTGTTGACAAAATAAAGCTTTGTCACTTATTATGTTAAGCATAGATGATGAAATTTGTACTTAAGTGACAAAATAATGATGAGAGATTTTCCTAAATAAGACTAAAAGAATGTATAATTGTAAAAACAGGACTACTATATTTTATTTGACAAAAATAGGACTAAAAAGAGCTAAACTGACGAAAATACCCCTAATGAAAAAATTACGCACACCAAGTCTCTGCTGTGCATGTTTCCCCTTCCCCTTTCTGCGCAGGTTTCCCCTTCCCCTTGTTGCGCAGGTGTGCCGTATGCGCATGTTTGGAGTCGACGCCTCCACCATTGGCACCTCTGCCACCATCCATGAAGTCTGCCACCACCGCCACCACTCAGCTAGTACGCTGTCATCACTCTCCAACAAAGATTTGCCCTGAAGTGAGTCAATGCATACCTCCATGAGGAATGACACTTCATATGCGAGAATGCCACTTAATATGCACAATGACACAATAATGACAATTTCGTATAGAGAAATGGCATTCTCAATATGACATTTTCAAATACCGTAATGACATAAAAGTGACATTTTTTAAAAATACCCAATAATAATGACATTCTACTATTCAAAAGTGGCATTTTCTGGAATCATTAGTCATAGCATTTTGAGAATCAAATTAATCAAAATTGATAACAAGAAATTCAAGTTCAGATATATCTTTATTTGGAACTTTCAAAATTCAAAATTTAATTTAAAATTTGATTGATAAAAAACTAAAAAAAAAAGCAGAAAACTAGGAGGAAGAAGAAGAAGAAGAAGAAGAAGAAGAAGAAGAAGAAGAAGAAGAAGAGAAGGAGGAGGAGGAGGAGGGGGAGGAAGAAGAAGAAGAAGAAGAAGAAGAGTACATACCTGTCTTGGCTATTGCAGCAGAGGTCGTCGACGGCGGAGCTATGGTGTTATGAGGCTACGATCGATGGCGGAGTGCGGCCATGGTGGAGTAAAGAATCGCGGAAGATGAAATTGGCGATCGATTGCAGAGGGTTAGGTTAATGAGGGGTAAAAATGTAATCTTTAGTCCTATTTAGGCAATTTAAAACTTGAAGTCCTATTTTAGAGTTTTAACCATGTTTTAGTCCCATTTAATATAATTTCTTAATAATGATGTAAAAGTGATAAATTTGATGTCACTAAAAGTAATAAAAATGGCCACAAAGATTAAAATCGTCATCAAAAGTTAATTATACAATGACAAATCCAAAAATTGTCATATATACCGTTTGCCACGGAGCTACAATGACGATCACTGTGACGATTATAATTTGTCTTATAAAAGTTTCGGTGACAAAATTTGAAGTTTATATGACAAATTTGTTGGTCATATTTTGTCAAAATTCTTGTAGTGTCATGTTCAGCCCCCAAATCAACTATGTCCACCCCCTCTCCTATTCTAACATTATTTTACTTGTCTTGCTGGTGCTAGGAAGGTGTGGGACGCACCCTTACGATCCCTAATTATTTTGGGAGCAAAATATCTACCAATGCTTTCAAAAATGGAAGAATATATGGGTCCTATTATTTTAGAGCATCACCAATGGTATATTGTTAACATCCTATGATTTTTGACACATGTCAATTAATAGGTGGAAATGTGGAATAGTCATCCACCTCATATTGGAGTAGTGTAGATGGACATTGAAATCCAAAATTCATGTGCAACGGCCTAATGTCAACAGCCCATAACCACCAACGTATCCTACCAAATTAAGTAGCTAAACACATTCCACATGCGTCCGTTTCCTCAAAGAATTGATATCAAGTGAAATTCTTTGAACGATCAAAATCAATAAAACAACACCTGGGTTCTAAAATTGTTGAATCAACAGAGGTATGACATATACGTATCACCATGTATTGGTCTATATTTTTTATTTTAAATATAATAAATGCTTTGAATAAAATTATTTAATTTCTTTATTTATTATATTTATTTTAATTGAGTCTCTTAATAATTTATTTAAAATAATATTTACTTTTTGTAAGTTGGTAAAATTTGGCAACAATGACAACACCTAGTTATGACTCGGATTCCAATAGCTCATCATCTGTCGATGATTCACCTATATTATCTAGGGATGATGACGTTTATGGCGAAATTAATATTGATGTAGTTGAGACATGTGCAGTTCGCATCCCATTGATATTGTCTCCTATGTTAATATGTAGCAGAGGTCCTCATGGCGGTTCAACAAGTGGTAGACGGTATATAAATCGTGATAGGAAAGAACGTCATGATCTAATTGTCAACGATTATTTCAATGGTGAGAACTCAAAGTATACACCTGAGAAATTTCATCGACGATTTCGGATGGACATCGAATTATTCCAACGTATTTTGAGAGCAATTAAGGCCTATGATAATTATTTTACACAAAAGGTTAATGCGGTCGGAAAAGCCGGGTTGAGCCCTTTACAAAAAATCATAGCTTCAATACGTATGTTAGCATATGGTTGTGCAGCGGATATTCTTGACGAGTATGTCCAAATTGGACAGAGCACGACAATTGAGAGCTTGAAACGATTCTGCGATGCTATAATTGATATTTTTGAAAAGTAATATTTATGAAAGCCATACAAAGATGATGTTGCAAGACCTTTGAAAGAGGGAGAAGACCGTGCATTTCCGGGTATGCTTGATAGTATAGATTTATGCATTGGCATTGGAAAAATTGCCCAACAGCCTGACTCGGGACACATACTAACGGCTTCAAAAGAGTTCCAACTCTTATTTTGGAAATTGTAGCTTCTAAAAATTTGTGGATAGATCTCCCTTATTTGATGTTAATGTTTTAGATAGATCTCCCTTATTTGATGACCTTGTTAAGGATAGAGCACCACTATGCAATTATGTAGTGAATGGTCATCATTACAATATGGGGTACTATTTATCAGATGAGATTTATCCAGAATATACCACTTTAATCCAAACCAGCTCAAATCCATCTTCTCTCAAGGAAAAATTATTTGCAAAGCATCAAGAATCTGTGAGAAAAGACGTAGAACGAGCATTCAGAGTGCTGCAAAGTCGGTGGCATATTATCAAAGGTCCAGGACCTATGTGGAACCCAAAAGATTTAGGAATGATTATGAAAACATGCATCATTTTGCATAACATTATTATTGAAAGTGAGAATAGTCAAGGTATTGATCCTTGATGTGAGTTTTCTCACACTTAAATTAATAGTAGAATAGTGGTGAAAGTACGAGTATCGTCTCCACAGGGACGGACAAAAGGGAATTAAAGATTAACTAAATTCAGCGATTAAAAATAAAATAAAATAAATGCGTCGTGCGAGATTGATTGGTTGAATGGAAATTAAACTAATGCAGATGAGCGAATAAAAATAAAGATTTGGGTTCTTCTTGATTAACGACGAAGGGAACAAGGATTGATTCTGGGGTAAACAGATTTCTGGCACATCAGGCCTAATTACATGAATTTAGTTTAATTGAGCCTAGCTAATCAATACTAAGTTCTTTCCGCTCTCGCGGCGTAGAGTACAATAATTTAGGGGACCAGGCTGATCTCTAATGTGACAGGATCCTAAATTATTGCCAAGACGAGCGAGCTTACGGCCCCTTAATCGCTACTAATCTCTTAGCAAACGATTAAGTGTGCGTGAATGTGTCCTAGAACAAATTAGATCTCTCTTAATTTATTCTATGTGCAATTGTAATTCTAGTGGCCATTCTAGGTTACAAAAGATATCAGTTAAATTGTTCAAACACAAATTAAACGACATTCATGCAATTAAACCATCAAGAAACTAGCCATACATCATGATAAACCCCTTCATCAACCTCAAATCCCTAATTAAAACTACTCCCGACTCATAATTGAAGAATCAATAGAATTGGGAAAAATAGAAATAATTGTCATTAATAAAAAAGTAGAAACTTACAAAGAATCTTAAAGAGTTGAAGAAACCGGGCTGAAAAGCTCTCTAAAAGCTCTCTAAGTCTCATCCTCCTTTAATTAGGGTTAGGGGGTGATATTTATAGGAAACAAGACAATTTGGGCTGAATTAGGAAAGAATTTGGGTACGCACGGTGCCCATACACGCGTGCGTGGCGTCCGACAGAGATCCGCGTAAAAAGGGGGACGCACGCGGATCTCTTCAAATCTTCATCGTGAATCTTCCTGTGCCCTTAAAAACTCTGAATTCATTCTTGAACACTCCTCAACTCGTCTCGATCACTCCTTAAGCGTCGACACCGGGCCCTAAAAGACCTGATTTCATCTCTAAAAATGCCAAAACTCGTTCCAACACCCGGCTAACGTGACTTGAGCTAAACATGACACTTATGACGCCTTAAAGCGAGGAAAACCATCAAAATCCGACTCCAACATGCATTAAATGCGTGTTGAAATACGAACTTATCAGATTCCCCCACACTTAAGCTTTTGCTTGTCCTCAAGCAAATTGAAAAACGGGACTTACGATAATCACCACACGGAATTAAAACAGTCAGCATGCACACGTAGCTAAAGGGATATTCACAGAACAAACATTCTAAGCCTTGAAAATTCCTCCCTAAACTATATCTTTGTACTCAAGCTAAACGGTTTGACAAAATTATTCACAACATCCTTAAAGTAATGACAGCGTACACTAATAAACTAGCTAGTGATCAGAAAGATTTGTGAAAGTGATGATGAATGGTAATAAACAGTCCCTTTCTTTTGAGAGATTGGAATATTCTAACAAAGACCCAATACATTCAGGAACTTCAAGGCTATTCTTAGGGTCAATGAACTCAGTAGGACACAATTTAGGAACAATCATCTAAACATATGCAAATAGTAGACATGGTGTACAACTAAGCTAAACCGCTGTGGCGCATTGGTGCTTTAACGTATACTTGAAGTACACGGAGGACTAAAGCTAATTTTGCTAAAGCCTCCAAGTTCATTAAATAAGTTTAGTTTTCCTTGCCATGTTGGCACGAGAACGCCATTTCTTTCGAAAGATACCCAAGGTCTCATCTTATTGTGCAAAACACTTACGCTTTTTGACCCGGGCTCTCATTCTCTTTTTCGCAAGGTAAGAGGTCTAGGTATATTAATTTTTCACCTTTCGGATTCTCACTAGACATTACCCCATTCTAATCTCGGCCTCACCAACGAAAAATAGCAATTAAAGTTCATTTATTAAAGGGAATCCACGCCTACAATGCAATCCTCGAAAGTATCAAATTCCTAAAAAGTGACTGCTCTTACCCCACTTTGGGGCATAGGAACAATGCCAAAAATGGCTCCTACACAAATTCTCTAAACTTAGCAAATTAATCCCTTAATTCCCTAAACATCAAGATTCTGTCAGAAATATTCACGGGTAAGAAAACAGGCCATGGCTATGAAGCTCAATTACCCGGGCAAAGAACAAAAATGGTTAGGATCAAAATGGCTTCTCCTAATGGACTTTTTGAGGTGAGATGAAATATTTATGAATTACTTCAATGGGTGATTAATGCCTTCATCCTCTCAACAACTAGATTATAGTGCAAGCAATTTAAGACTAAACACTTCAGAGATGTCCTAAAAGCATAGTCAAAACGCTAGCCAGCTCGCAAAGACAGTTTAGAGAAAAAAATTCAAAAATTTGACATAACTTTTCTATGAATATTCAACTAACACCTGCGCATGCTGACTCTAAAAAATAACATGTAACAACTACTGCCCGGATTCCCAATTCACTCCCCCACACTTAAACTTTGGCATCGCCCTCGATGTCCAAATATGCACTATGCACAGGGGGTAAAGGGAAAGGGTCATGCGTGCTCAAACTTAAATCAAGTCAAAATTAAAACGAGCGTATAGAAGCGAGTAAGGAACAAAGAAACTCCCCTAAGGCGCTGGTCGATCGGTGCAGAACAATGCTGAGTTAAACAGTGAACCTTGGCGCGTCATCCTTAAATCAAAAGAATGTTGCAAGCACAAAACAAGCAACAAAACGTAGCAAAGTACACCATAAAGAGTGATGAGTGTGAGTGTGATGTTAGTTATATAGTCATCCAACAAAAACTGAGAGTACACATGAGGAGGGGGCGGAATCTAAATTATAAACTCTACTGCTTTGGAGGAGGGGGCGGATGGTGTCCCTCGAAAATTGATCTCCAGCTGGCCTCCATGGAAGTGAGGCGGTCATCGATGCCCGAGTACTGGGACTGCATCTGCGTAAAGTGACTCTGTTGCGCCTCCATCATCTGTCTGAAGTGGTCCTCCTGCTGATGGTGTAATCGGTGGTAGACATCCTCCTGGTGTCTATGCACACCCTCCCATGAGTTTGGGTAGGTATACCCATATGGAGGGGCACATAGGGGATATCCTGCGCCGCATCATGGTCCGTCTCATGCTCTCCATGCTCCTCTTCATTGTCTTCATTGAGTTCCATCTTCCTGCACCCTGAGCGGAATCTTCTTGGGTAGCCTCTTCATTGGGTGGGTGCTATCAATCCGAGTCATCCCCTCAAACCGATCCTCGTACCCCATTCCTTTCAGCAGGCGTGTGATGTAAGGGCCGATGAAAATCGCCTTAACTCGGTAATTGGCCTGTCTGAGGAACATGCCTGCGAATAGAGCTCCAAAGAATGGCCTCCTCTCGTTGATTATGCACCAAAGACAGAAAAGATCAGTGGCGGAGACCTTGCCGCTTGCCTCTGCGTGGCCTGAAACAGTAGAGCTCAGGAGTGCATGGACCACCCGGAACTGGAATGGGTGAAGTGCAGTGCTTGGTGCAGTCTGGGGTTTGTACTCACCGGCACCAGGGGCTATAGACTTCCAGAAGTCTTTCCGATCTAATTCTGGCGGAATGTCCAGTAAGCTCCCTTCCCAATGGGCCACGTAATCTAGAGTATCGAAACCAAGATGTGCCGAGATGTCGCTCACCGATATGATGTGAGACTCACCGAAAGCTCGGAACTTGATTATCGGCAGAAAGATGTTGTCAAAAGTCTTGGATGCATTGAAAGAAGACAGCACCTCATGTGTGATCTCTTTGTAAGTGGGCTCGTTGATCCCAAAGAAGAGGTGCTGCCACCAATCACGATGAAGTAGCTGCAACACCTCGTCCCGTATGCCGGCTTGTCCTAAGGTGGGTAAATGGGGATACAACCTTTTCCCCACACTCATGTTCATTAACTCGTCAAATTTTTGCCTTTGTACCTCGTCCACGAACTGAGGCATATATGGGGCAGCCGGCTAGAGCCGACCCCTGTGCTGTCCCGCTGACGTTTGGAGGTTTGTTTAGTTCGGCCCATTCTGCAAAAGGATTTAAACAAGAAAATTCCAACGGGGCTTCCAAATGTTAGAAGTGAGCACAATCAAGGAAGCATATCATTTATCACCACAAGTTTTTTGAATAAAGTTCTTCCCGAATGCATTAGACAGAAAATAAAAAATGGGGAAGAACTCACAATTCTCAAATTTGACGAAGTTTGGTCTAAACATTGAGGATTTATGCACAAGTGGACTCAACAACACTTATTAACCATCACAAGTAACAACTTAGTCCTTAATTGAAGTAGAAAGCACAAAATCCCCAAATTTTTCTC